CGCACAAGACAAGTATACTAAGTGTAAATACACTAGATAGAGTTTAGATACACCAACAAGGATACAAGTTCAAGTATACAGTTTCAAGTATACTAAATGAGATTAAAATACATAGGCAAGCACCAATTCTCAAGTTACAAGTAATCCATGATTAACAACTTAAAATTGAATGCGAAATCAAAGTGGAAAGATTAGGACATGTGGTCACTAGACCAAGCAAGTGTTTCCGGGTAATTACGACCCACAAGGCACTACCTAGTGCGCATATGCATAAGTTATTCCGGGTAATTACGACCCACAAGGTACTACCTAGTGCGCACTTATAATTTAGAAGACTCCTGTCTCCGTACTAGAGCTAAACCCTAGCCATCACGTGAAATATGTCCTTACAAGCTTTCTAAAATCAATAAGTCCAAAACTTATACAAGAATCAATAAGTTAGACCAAACTTATACCAAATCCACTAATGCATAAAACCATCTTCCATGCACAAATAAGGTTGAATCCACACAAACCATGTCCTATAATTCAAGTCTAGATAGCATATGACATGTCAAGCTTCCAATATGCAATTTATACACCAAAATAAGAATATTTTACAACAATTGAACCATATTACCACACTAAGCCACAAGTACTAAATAAGTCCCAATTTAGGAACTAGCTTCCAAGGTAAATAATTGCAATATTCTAACAAGTTATACAAGTCAATGATATTCTATATCATGCTAAGTCCAATTACCATTTCAAGATGTCTCAAGTACTAATTCTACATCAAATTAGTAACATGTTCACAAAGTGATTAAACAGACTACATTTCAAGGGATTATAAACCTATTACATCCAATATCAATTTAAGTGACCAACACACTTAAAATGAAATTAATTAAGCTCATTAATTAATTTTTCTCTAGATTTTCAAACATATCCAAACGTCCTCAATTTAATATGTGTTAAAGAACTCACCAAGACCTACTTTAATATCACATTACAAGTTGGTTTCATACTTGTTACACTTATGAGAATTAATCTTTCACAAAAGATAAATATTAAATAAGTTTTGCAATTCTTACTCAAATGCTCCAAATTTAATATATGTTACACAACTCACCAAGGCCGAATTTACTAGCATGCCACAATTTAATTCTAAACTATATATCATCATTAGAATTAAATCATAAACAAAGAAAATAAATAAATTAAATTCTAAAAACTTGAATAAGGCATACTCACAAGTTGTATATGCTTATAAAACAATCAATACAACAATAATATAAACCTAAGACACCCCCTACCTCAATTTGAGATGAAAATCTCAAAAGCCATCAAAACGAAACGGCTCCGAATCTGACAATATTTCGGGGTTTCGTCGGGGACAACGCTATGAACGATAAACTCCAAAGAGGACCTATGAAAATCACAACATGACTTCAAAACCAAACTCAAAATTTGGCCAGAAATGGGTTCTAATAAGGGTGAAAGAAGCGCGTAGTCAACACGAACACAAAACGTAAAGGCCTACTATGTTCTGACAAAGAAATGAAGTTCAAATGAGGAGAGAGAAGGTGGCAGCCTCCCTTGGGCTGCCATGGAAGCTTCAGGTCGTGCAAGAGAGTTGGGAAGATGAAAAAATAAAATATCTCATCCCCCTTTTGTAGAAATCTCAAAAAGTGCCCCAAACGGGCCCCACCGAGTCCGGAAAAGTGAAATTTGAGCAGACGTGCTCAAATGATGAAACTCTGTGAACAAAAAAGATTCAAAATGAGAAAATAAGAATAACGGAAGAAACAGCGTCAAAAACCGAATCTCGAGCAGAAAGTTATGCCCCAAACAAGTTTGGCACAAACTTGGGCCAGAAACCCTGAAACTGGAAAACATCGACCAGAAGGGATTTCTAAGAGTTTACGACTCGACGAAAAGTGAAAATGAATCCCGTATGAGAATCCAGGCTCAAAACAAGATAATTTATAACAACTTTTATTAATTGCATAATGGCCCCCACAAAAAGGGTTAACTGCAAAACTGCCCCAGAATCCAAAAGATATTTTCTTAGATACCCCTGAAATAAATTATCTTCAAAAGATATTTACGAAAAATACCCCAAGAAAAGAAATTAATTTTAAATAATTATGCATCCATGCTCCTATGGACACCGGGAGCAACCAGAGTACTTTCCTACAAAAGTAAAGATACGTATTTCGTGGAAACTACTCACGATAAAGATACGTGAAGTCAAAAACCAACTCCGAACACAAGAAATGAGGTTTTGCCAACAAAGTGACAAACGGGGAAAAGACGAAATAGGGAAAAGGACGAAATAGGAATAAGGACAAAAAAAGTGAATAGTGTCGAAAAACGAAAATTGTGGAAATGACTCGGTCCTCAAAGGAAGTTGTCAGTTCATGGAAAATAGTCTTAGAAACCATTTCCGAGCACTCAAGACGACACTAAGTGACGAAAAACCATCCAAAGAAAATAAAAAATAACGGAAAAAATTTATCCGCAAAATTTGAGGAAAAAAGAAAAGGAATAAAATGACCGGGTCATTACAGGTAGTGTGTTTGGAAGGAGCAGAATAGAAGATCTTTCGATGGGGAGCAATCTTCCATTGGAAATTTGAAATTTCATTTTTTTTAGCTCTCTTTTTAGTTGGGTTATGGGGAGAAATTATAAATCTATAGAGGAGATCGTTGAGTTTTTGGCTTCTTTGGGTCTGCAAGACCTTTTTTTGGCTTCGGCCTTGTATAGTGCTTAGGATGCATTCTCCTTTTGAACGCTTTCTAATATACTCTTATTTTTATTTTTTTATTTAAAAAAAATAAAAATAAAAAAAAAAAAATAAAAGAAGAAGATGTGTTTGCTTTTTAATAACTCTTCTCAATCTTCATTACATCCTTTATTCCTCCTTTTTTTCTTTTTTTTCTTTTTTTGGTTTTTTGTGAGATACCATTAAAAAGGCTAAAAAAAGAGGAGTGAACCCAAAAGAAATGACATCCCTATTTGTATTTCTAGTTTACTAAAATTACACATTATATGACTAGTTTTTATTCCCACTTATCTTAAATCCTTTTTATTCTCGAACTTCCCTCTAAACCTCCAATTAGCATTTACCCCTTCTCTAATTTCATCAATTAAAACAAAATCATCAAAAAATAAAATACATCAAGAAATCCCATCTAGAATGTGTCTCTTCAGTTCTTCAAAACTATATATATATATATGGGCTTAATGCTAAACTTTGATGCAAGCGTGCAGTTTTTGGAAATTCATTTGTTTCCCTCGCAGTAGTCAAACTTTCCTCATACATCTATTCTTGCATCAATTCATCCCTTGTGACTACATTTTTCAAAACTATTCATATTAGATTTCTAGGTACTCTATCATAGGTTTTCTCCATATCGATAAAAAAACATATAAAGAGTTTTTATCTTCTCTTAATATCTTTTCATTAGTCTCGTCAAGAAGTACCCCCTCCATTATTGGTCTCTTCAGACATTTCAGTTTTTTATCTTAGTCAATGTCAATCACTCTCGACCAAAGTTCCATAGTATGAATTATTAATTTAATAGTCTCCTCAAGAAGTACCCCCTCCATTATTGGTCTCTTCAGACATTTCAGTTTTTTATCTTAGTCAATGTCAATCACTCTCGACCAAAGTTCCATAGTATGAATTATTAATTTAATAGCACGATAATGAGTACGACTTCGTATATCCCCTTTATTTTTCAATATAATTACTAAAATACTTTTGCACCACACAGCAAGCATTATCTTAGCAGTTATTACCTTATTAAACAATTTCATTAGCCAAGAAAGGCCATCATCCCCTAATGTTATTTTATTTTATTTTATTTTCTTAATTGGTGTTGTATAAAAGGAAGAATTAATTACAGGTGCACAGGGAACATATCCTCCGAAATGAGACAAATAGCCATTAACCATTGCAAATATCGGATGAGGATGAGGAGTAAACCCAAAAGGAAAACCCAATTTAACATCCAAATCCAGGGCCTAGTTAAGCAAATCTTGGATTGAAACATTTGTAACATGAATGACTCAAAAAAAACTTTGTCTAGCGACCTCCTGCAGTGATCTTGAAATTGAATCGTGTAGCCTACCATCCCCTAAACTTTTTGTCATGAACAATATGAACTTTTTGTCATGAACAATAGATATATATATATATATATATATATATATATTTAATATTATAAATAATGTGAATACTAAAGTCTTTTAAGTTTAGGTTAGATGTAATTTATAATTAGTGTAATTGAAATGTACATTAAATACATTAAGGGTAAGTGTGTCCTTTTGAGAATCTTTTGTGATGGAAAAAATTGTAATTTCATGTCTGAGTAAAGGTACTTCGATCTTTTTGTCAAAAAGGACACTCGTGGGATTTCAAAAGTGTTCCATTAACGGCTTTTAATGCTAAAGTTCAGCTACGCGTCGTTCCTCAAGAAGAATCTGTTAGAAAAGATAAACCTTATGAGCTTCATCATAGCCTTGTTTTCAAATGTTTAAGAAACCAACTGAAAATTTGCAGCATGGGGGTGGGGGGTGGGTGTGTGGAGTGTGGGACGCCTTCAAATTGTGTAGACGCGTTTTGAAAATTATGAATACGAAAAATACGTAAAGTAAATAATATCTGCATAATAGGGTGGGTCGTGACATAGGCATTAGAGCTAAACCCCAGCCAGAAATGGGGGGTGGCATGCACAAGCCCATGAGGGTCCGGCTAGTAAGGATGTTGGGTCCCAAGACGGAGTGATTGTGACATCTCACATCTTTTGGGGGGATGTCACTTATATGTGTGAACGCCTCCTAACTGTGTAGAAACATTTTGAAACGAAGAGTGAGAACAATATCTATACAATTGGGCGGATTTTGACAAAAATAGCTTATCATGATCCTTAGTTTTTCAATTTGCAGATCAAGGACTATATTTTTAGATCAAGCTAGTAAATCCATAAAACATTTAAGAAAACCATCTCTAATTGGATTGCAAATCAACAATCAAATTTTGTAAAATAAAATTAAAAATTTTATAATTTTTTTTTTTACATATTTATCTTTCCCAATAACACACTGCAGTTAACAATAATTCTCAATGCATCTGACAACTTTTGCTCAAGTCTCCATCCGCTTTGTTGAATGAAAACCAAATTTTTTTAATTTACAAGATCCCAGAAAGGAAATGCAATTCTTTTCAAGTAAAAGAATTTTGAAGTTCATATGTGTGCAGCATGGCCTTAAGTTCTGCAAATACCTGCACTTCCTAATTGACCAGAATTTAAACTAAAGCTGCAGAGAATCAAATTGATGGCATGCTTCAGTTAACCAATGTATCTCATGCTGGAAAGAAATGCTACATGAATAAGCATCTAACTGGACAAGTTTTCAAACAATAAGCAGACCTTCTAATTGATTCCAGCTCCGGCAATTCCTTGGGGTCCCTTTTTTTTGCAGCCTCATTTAAAAGCATATGGCACGTGTTATTCCTACTGCAAGCAAAATAAGGAATACTAAATTAGTGCAGAACAATTTCTGCCAATAGAAGGAGAAGTATTCTCCAATTAAAACATTATATTAAGCATGAAAGGAGAAGAACAATTTCTGCAGAACCATTAAATACTAAATTACTGAAAATGGAAGGAGAAGTTTTCTCCAACTTAAACATCACAATCATACTTCCAAAAGGTGAAGTTTTTGTATCACCTACACTAGATAAATAAGCATTACTTTATGGAGAATTCATATTGAAGACAATTGTAAGTCATCATCCAAAATGCAGCACCAATTTACCTTCAACAGTTGTTCATGTTTCCAAATTTATGGCTGTTCAAGTCATTGGCCTTCTAGATCTACTTTCTGCAATGGGTTCAACTGAAGGTTTTAAATGGTGAACTTTTGGAAGTATAATGTAACTTCCAATTTGTAATGCGAGAAAGACCATGCAAGACTTATCATATGCTATGAGATGATACCAAGCATCCATGTCCTGCATAAAAAACCCAAATATGATCTGAGTAGTTGCCCCAGATTTTACTTGACAGTACCTGTAATGTTGAAGCAAATGTATTAATATGTACACTAGGAGTTACCTGGCCTTAATGCAGAAGTTGAACCCCAACTTTGTGCATATGCACACTCAAGAACAGAAGCTATGGCCATACTCCAAATCATTCCATCAACAAAACAGTCCTCTCAAGGATCTCTTGAATCACAGAACGTGTATCAACATTCAGCTTCAGACATGTTATACACACCAGGAATTCCTTTATAGTCCATGGACCCTGTTAAAATCTCTCTTTGAGAAATAGCACCAGATATGATAGCCCTGGTGTGCATGACATCAAAAAGCTTGGAGATCTTCTGTGTATCTCCACATTTAAAGGAACCTCAAACCAATGTGCCATCTATCACGAGGTTAAAGCCAACATCTCTTCCATCATTTGATCCAAAAGCTTCACAGATTCTTCAGTATCACCTTGCTTATAAAGACTATTAATTAAACATGAGTAGGTCACAACGGAAGGAGCAATCCCTTCTTCTATCATTTTGTCTTTCAGTTTAAGGGCTTCACCAGTATTACCAGTCTTACAATGTGTATCTATTAAAGTATTATAGGTAATGACATTAGGAGATAAACCTTTCAAGTTTAGTTTCTTAAAAAGCCTCAGTGCTCTATCAACATTTCCTGATTTACACAAGCCATTGATAAGGGCATTGTACGTGGTGATGTTTGGAACAAGACCCTTTTCCAGCATCTCATCCCGTAAGTTAAAAGCATCGTTCACATTACCAGCAGCTGAAAAACCATGGATTAGGGTACAGTATGTAAAATTGTCAGGAATAAAATTTCTCTGTAACAAAACTGAGATAACTTTTCTTGCATCATCCACCTTCCCAGATTTGCAAAGCCCTGAAATAGCCACATTGTACACAATGTCATTGGGCAAAAGAGAACTTTTAGCACTTTCATCAAGGGAATCTGCAATTTTCTGAACCTCTAACAGTCTCGTGCCAGACTCAAGGGACTTTTCAGAACATTTATTGTCTGGAACAAGATCAAAATTCATTATGTTCTGCAACAGCATATTTGCTTCATCAATCCTACCAAGCCTGTATAGGCCACTGACAATTGTGCTACATATAATAATATTGGGAACTAAACCCTTCTCAATCATCTCAAAATATGCACCAAAAGCTTTATCCAGCATCCCTTCTTTGCACCAACCAGCAATGAGGGCTCCATAAGTGACAATATTCGGGCTTAAGCCCCTGACCTGCATCTCAGCAAGTAGATCAGCCACTTTCTTTAGTTTCCTTGCTTTGAAAAGTCCACCAATAAGTGAGTTATATATTTCAATGGAAGGAGAAATTGCTTCACTTTCCATAACATCCTTAACTTTTAAAGCTCGTTCAACATTGCCAGCCTTACAGTAACCATCACTCAGGGTTCTATATGTTATTCCATCAGGCAAACATCCTAGCTCCTTCATCTTGTCAACAATATCCTCAGCTTCAACCATTTTCCCCATCTTGCATAGACCATTAATCATTGTATTGAAAGTGATCCTACTTTTTGTGAAGCCCCTTGCTAGAACATGTTTCCACAACGTTAAAGCCCCTCCGGTATCCCCCATCTTGAAATACCCATCAAGCAAAATACCATACCCAATCTCATCAGGATACACATCTCTTTTTAGCATCAAGCGCCAAAGGTGCAGGGCCTCATCAAAGGCACCAGCATGGCACAAACCTTTGAGAAGAGTGTTATAAGTCACAACAGTGGGTTCAATACCTTCAAGGAGCATCTTGTCACAAAGTTTGAAAGCCTCAGTCATACAACCTTCTCTACAATACCCATTAACTAGAGTATTGTAGCTATAAGAATCTGGTTTTAGTCTCCAGTTGACCATACACATCATCACCTCCTCTGCTTTACCGACTTGACCAATTTTACAAAACCCATTTATCATAGAATTGCATATAACCAAATTCAATTTCAAACCTAATCCCAACATCTCGTCCCGCATCCTAAGTGCATCGTTCATTCTGCCAGCTCGACAATACCCATCTATTACAGCTCCATAAACATGCTCATCCACAACAAATGACGGTTCCTCCTTCATGGTTTGAAGCAGCTTTTCCGCTTCATCCATCTTGTACTGCCTGCAGTAACCCTTAATTAGCGAAGTATATGTAATCACATTCCGCGAAACTACTTTTCCCTCCATCAACCTCAACACTTCCGAAGCTCCTTTCACATCTCCCATCCCAACACACCCATTAATCAAACTATTATAAGTCACTATATTTGCTACCAAACCCAAATCCTCCATTTCTTTCAAAAATTCCAGAGCTTTATCCACTTTACCAGCCTTACAATATGCATTCACCATTATAGTACAAGTGTATACATCTGGAACAATCCCAATCCTGATCATCTGGTCATAAACACAAAAAACTGTATGGTATTCACCCTTTCTAACCAAATTACTCAACAAACTATTACAGGACAGCAAGCTCGGTATACGACCGCACTTCCCCATATTATCAAACACATGGAGTGCATTCTTTGTCAAACCTTTCTCTGCACACACTTTCAAGATCATATCAAAAACGGTTGGTGAAAACGAGAATTCTCTATAAACCCTAACTAATTCATCCCAAATTATGAGAAATGAGCTCTGAGTCTTACAGAGTCCCACCAATTCGTTCAAATACGACCTCGTCTCATCGTACAACCGACCTCTTGACAATATATGAACAATTTTACAATATGATTTGATGTGGGGTCTAAAGTTTAGCTGTTTGGAAGCCAATTTGAAGAAAACTAGACATGCGTTTGGGTTCAACCTCAGTTTCCTAAGAACGGCGTCGAGGAGATCGTGGGAGAAATCGAAGGAGAGATTGGTGATTGCACTGTATCGTTGCAGGACGAGAAGGCGACAGATCCGATCGAGTAACTCGGGTCGGGTCAGCTTGTACTCATCTCGCTGCCTCCAACGAAGGGTTGGTGATGCGTGGATTGAATGGTGGTGATGGAGGAGAGAGAGGAGACGAGAAGCAACGGAGATTGAATTGTACCTGAGCATTGAGAGAGTTGTGGAATTTACTGTCATGTCCTTTTCCTTCTCATCCCCGTTCATCAATCTTGACGCCGATTTTCCATTTCAGATTTCGTTTGGGTCGACGGAAATTTTTTCTGAGAAAAAACTCCACTGTTCAGTGTGTAGAACTGAAGTAAGTGGTTGGTCCCTTGACACTAGTCCAGTGTAGCCCCACTAGCCCTGCTAAACATTTTCCAAATTATCGAAAATAAACTTTTTAACATTAGTTGATATTTTTATTTAAAATTGTTGATACTTTCATTCCAATTTTTTTTCTAATTATTATTATTTTATTCATTATCAAACTAACTATTAAAAGTAATTCAAATTAAAGATATTTTATAAATAATCATGTATATTCATAGTATTATGTTTAAATTATGAAGAAAAATAACTCACAAAATTGATAGGACTCATCCTAAGTTTTATTAGTAGACCAATATAATAAAGGCAAAAAAATTATGGTCAATTCATATTCAAGAAGTAAGTATATTAGAAAATAAAAAATAAATTTAGAGATAGATAAACAAATTTTTTTTTTTTTTTCCACAAAAAACAGACTCACACCGGCCTTGTTGTAAAGTGAGGCACTTTATTTTCATAAAGCATTGTCAGGAGGATTTGTAGTATTTGTTCTATTCATCTTCTAGTTTACAATGCGGATGCGTCGATAATTCAGTGAATTATTTTGGAGTGCCAGACTTCGACTCTCTACATCTACTAATCTAATTTTTAACTCTTTACAAGTCATAAAATTTCTAAATTAAAAGCAAGGTATTCCCTTACCTCAACAACTAATTCATGGACCATATTTCTTGCCCATCAAAAGCAATCACAAATCTATACAAGGTTACATAAGTGGGCATGAGTACTTAAGTTGAAAAGAATATCTAATATTTTTACAAGGTCACAAATCTTGCCCATCAAAAGCAATCACAAGAATACTTTGAAAAGAATATCTAATATTTTTACAAGGTTACATTACAGTTGTAGAGTTTTCTAGGCAACACTACACAAATCTATACAAGGTTACATGAGTGTATTCCTTGTCATGCAAACTATCCCAATCCTGTAGGTGCAAAAATTCACTTGACTAAGAAAAGTCAAAATTAATATAACACACTCAAAGAATTGAAGAGAATAAATTTAAGACTGCGAAATTTGCTTATACATCTTATTAGGAGGATTTTGGCCTCTATTATAATATATTACAAAGGTTGAATTGGTTCAGGGCTCCAAGTTCTTACCACATTGTATTTGTTTCCTTGTACAATTCTACTAAGTTTATATAAATGAATTCTAAATGTTTCACAATTCTTTCTTCGTGTAAGACTTGATCTATACGAGCGGGCCGGGCTTTGTTGAGATATTGGGCCAACACCTAGGGGTTTGTTGGTGTAGCTGCGAGGAGTTTCTCCTGCAGATGGGCCATTGGATTTGTCCCTGTCTTGTTGGACTTGTGTTCCTCTTGTTCGAAACACATGGATTGCCTCTTGTGGACTTTGACTTGATGATGTGTCACATTGCCATTGGAGAGGAAATTTTCCCTACATTTTGCCCCAAATTCTCTCCAAAATGGGGTAACGGTCTTTAATTATTCTGAAGGGAATTAATTATTACGGGGATATGTAGTGTGCAGTTGGTGTATGTATAGTGTGTGACTCTTGAGATTCAACAGTCTTCTAAGAAAAAAAGTACACTTGGAGCATCTTCAATGGCATGTCTAAAATTTGGATCTTGAAATTTAGCATGTCAGCATTTTTCAATAACTCCGTCAACATTTCAAAAGACACATCAATATTTTTGACTCTCTAAATTTTTGCTATCGCAGGTGTTCCAATGGTGCATTTTCGCTCTCCAAATATTGAAATATTTTAATATTTTTAAAAATTTTAATAAATTGTTTTTTTTTTTTTTTAACTATTATAACGGCTATATAATGCAAAAACTATTAAACAATACAATATTTATTATGGATTAGAAAAATTAAAACAATACAATACCATTATTAAAATGAACTAGAAAAAATAATAACCATATGACACTTTTTTTGTCTTTTTTTTTAAAGAACAATCATATGACACAATCATATACAATGATTTTTCTCCTATTTAAAAAGCACTTATCTCTTTTTCTTTTCTTTTTTTTTCTTTTTTTTTTTTTTTTTTTTTACCCAAAAAAATCTTTAAAGCACTATTTATGTCAGTCAAATAGTGTCTTAACAGCTCTTTTGTTCAATTGTGTCGAGGAAAAAAAAAAAACCCAAAAAATAGGTTTCTGGAATATTTTTTCCAACCAAACATGCATTTAACCCAATTTTGGGCTAAGGGCTACAGTGATTTGGGCTTAAAACAATTTTTTAAAAAATAGGCAGGCTCGCATAAGGCAGGACGCGATCACCAATTGAGTCGCCATTTTTGGCGACCCAATCTGTGACCCAAATTTTCGGGCCCACCAATTGGAGACTCCATTGGACTACTTGCATCTCTAAATTGGGCCAAAACCTTTAAAACTTACACCATTGGACTTGCTCTTAAGGGTTTTGGGACTTATATTGCCTCCAACTTCTTACTTCGCCCTGATCCTTACGTTTCCTCGGGTCAGTTCCCTTCTTGTTTTTTATTTATACGTCTACTAAAATAATTATGAGTTCTAAAGATGTTAATGTTGTAAACCCAGATAACACCACAGCCACAGACTCTGAAACCACAAACTCTACTACCGCCGAATGGATTCGCTTACCACCACCTAAGATTGTGGTGGAGGAACAATCAATTAAAGAGGGCAGTGGTACTTCCAAGGCCAAGGGTGTTCCCAAAGCCAAGAAAAAATCATTTTTAGATGTCAAACGCCTTCTTATCGCCATCTCCAAACTTATTTCCTGCTGCAAAATCCCCACTGATGTGTCAATAAAAGCCTATCCAGTGGAGGCAAACTTTCATGTTGGTGAAGGGTTTGGAGAGAATGAGATTCTACTCTTAGCCGGACATCTTAGCACTCTTAGATTTCCTCTTTATCCCTTCTACCACTTGATTTTAACCACTTAGTGATTTCTCATCTGCAAGTGAACCCTAATTTCTTCATAATCATATTTTTATTCCTGGTTCTCAACAAAATTAGGAACCTTGACCTCTCTTTTATAGACCTCTGGACTAGGGGTGCACAAAAGAACTGGAACCGTGGGAACCGGAACCCTTTTTTTCGATTCTCACGGTTCCGATTCCAGTCCTGGTTTTTAATTTCGGAACCGTGAGTATACGGTTCCGGTTCCGGTTCCAGCCTGTGGGAGCCGGTAAGAACCAGAACCGTATATGTGTGTGTGTGTATATATATATATATATAATTATTTTAAATTAAAGGCTATTATATATTCTTTTATGGCCTTTAGCACTTAACGTAATTTTTATTCTCTCTTTAAGCTTCTGCCTATATTAGCTAAAACTGTATCAGTGAAGTTCTTTTCTTATTTTTTTTTTTATAGATTGCTACTTTCTCAAAAAATTCAGTAATTGTTTTCATCATCTGTCACCATGACTACTTTAGTCCATATAGCCAGAGGAAGAGAATTCACCATAGATCTCGTACTCGAAAGCAAGTCAAGAAAAAGAAGCAGATCCGGGGCTTCCTCAAAGAGGAGAAGCTAGTTCTTCAGGAATAGGACTTTGTTCCTCTAGAGAGAAGGAAGGGACGATGGCACTGATTTCATAAGGTGGAATTGCTTCAGCTATGTTCTGTTCTTGTGCACTATGCAAAATAAAAATTGAATAGAAGCAGAGAAAGCGAGAGAGGTTGCATTTTAGTGCTAAAGGCCTACAATCAGATCTGAACTTGCCCCTCTCTCTCTCTCTCTGTGCAACTACAAACTACAAAATCTACAAGAATCAGAAGTTCAAAACCCATGTATCAGAAGTTCAGATCTACAAGAATCAGAAGTTCAAAACCCATGTTAACGGTTCTCATGTTACGGTTCAGTTCCGGTTCCGGTTCCGATTCCGTTTTTTAAGAACCGTTGTGAACGGTTCCGGTTCCGGTTCCGACCGGAACCGTGAGAACCGGAACCGTGTGCACCCCTACTCTGGACTAGCTATAGGGTCTGTAGGTAATGATCGGGTTGAGATTTTATCTCTTATAGTACAGCTGTATGATTGAATTATTTACTCCTTGATTTAGGGCTAATTGGTAGGTAATTAGTTACTTATTTTAGCTAATCCTATTCTATAAATTGGATGTAATACTCATCAATGAATTAATTGAATATGATTTTAATTCTCGTATTCTTTCTCTGAATTTCAAGATGGTATCAGAGCCATCATTGAACCCGTACCTTTAAATCTCTTTGAATTTATCTCTAAAATTCAAAGACCCATACATACCCATATACATACAGAAATTCAAAGACACATACATACCCATACACATATTGTAATGACCCGAACCCGTAGGTCCGAACCGTTAACCGGGTCCTAAACTGAACCCGAGGTCAATTAGGGACAACACCATTCTTTCCTACGTCAATAGAATACGTATCATTCCGGGTTTATAAAAAAATAAGTAATAATAAATAAATAATTAAATAATAATAATAATAAAATGAGATTATAGCTACAAAGTATGTCAAAATGGTCTACTAACCCATCGAACCCTGTGGAGGAGCGTCATCCGCCACTTACCATCCGTGTCCTGAAAAATATTAAATATAAAGGGTGAGCAAATTGCTCAGTAGGTGGTGCCTAAGACACCTCTTGTAGCCCCGTGAATCCAAACAATGAATAGAAATAGGAAGCGGGGTCATACTATACCGGGAGGGAACATAACATTAATTCCAATTCCAAAATAACAATGCCGTGACATAAATGTAATGCCATGCAGTCACTTCCCATTTTCAGAAAAACATTCATCACTTCACAAACTGTTAATATAACCCGCCCTTTGGTGACTCCGCAGCGACACGAGAGAAGGATTGGCTACCGTCCCTGACCTTTGGTACCTCCGCAGCGTTATTTGGGGCCCAGATAGCTTAACCACTTTAGGGCAGTCTCCCTAGTTCCCTCTAGGCCATATTAACACACCGGCCTTTTGGTGACTCCTCGACGACCGGATTTTCTCAAAAACACTTTAATCAAATCATTTCCCCAAAAATCTTTGTTTCCATTTGTTTTAAGTCATTTTACCCTTTTTACATGCCCAATGTTATGAATGCATGTCACATGCTTGTCATTACTACGAAAATAAATAAATTTCCACTACACAATTTAACATGCTTCCACATAGTAATTTCTAGCAAGGTCTGAAACATCATGGCATGGAAATTTATAT